TTATAATTGAAAAGTACTTTTATTAATAAAGTTCCCGACACTTTTGGTTGATTGTCTTGAAACCTTACTTCACATTTAATATCAGGGTGTTACAGAATTCCGAAATAAAATTTGTAGGTATGTATTCCGAAATAAAAATTTGTAGGTTAGGTTTGTAGGGGAGTCTGTTTAAGTAGTAGTAATCTTACGCCTTTATAGGGTTGTCATAGGCAGGTGTAAAACGATATTTTTATTAATTTAATTAGAAAATAAAAGTGGTCTGAAAGGCGTCAAACTTTCGTAGGTAATTCTATACAAGGAACACAACCAAACCCTAAAGTTTATTTCGGACTTTTATCACACCCTGTATATAAGTATTTAAAAAGGTCACGCGGAATTATAGTTACAAACACGAATAATATAATGAAAACCTATTCCTTAAAGGGGTTATAGGTTGACAGTTTAAGTTTTGGGCAACCGTCTTTTTTTAATGATCACAAATTATTCAGCTTTCAGAAAAGTATCAATTCAATGTTTAGAGTTGAGTAGTTTAGAAAAAATCAAAAAATCAATGAACCGTCACATTTTGTTAACCATCCAGTTTTGAGCCCTAGTTCACTGGACTTAATTTGTTGCTAATGAACTCTAGTATAACCCCTTTCAAGGAATAGGTCAAGGTTTCCTATCACGCTGCAGAAGTAAATCTTAGGGTAATAATATTCTTAGGGCGGATCATCAACAAAACAAGACAGCCGGTTATGTAATCAATTGTTTATTGTAAAATTAATATATAAAAAAAAAGAAATGGATGCGTGTAACTTAAGTACGCGCGTGAGAAGTTATACTTCTTTAGCATCATTAAAATATTTTTTAATTGCATGCAAATAATTAATAATTGCAATAAAATAATAAGAGGACTGGAAAAGGATAGTTAACACAGTCAATTAAGTTCAGTTTTAATTTGAAAAATTAAATAATATTCAAAATATTCAATTAAAATCACTACTGAATTTAAGATATTAGTCCATATGTAATTAGCACTTGTAAGTAACTAAAACACGTTGTGTTCTTTACCTTCACAAGTGCTTGTAACAGCCTAGACTGAATAAATGTCATTTCATTTAATTTCATTTAATTGCATTTAATTTCATTTCATTTAATTTCATTTAATTTCATTTCATTTCAATGTCCCGTTCAAATCTGCCCCACGGTCACTTGGAAAATAAAATATTACAAATAACGCGCCCGCGGCTAACTTCATTATGTTAAAATTTTGTGTTACAGTGATGAAAATTTCACTCTCATAATTTTTTCATAACGCGGCTAAAGAAGTATAACTTCAAAAACAAAATATATTTGTTTCTTAGGTTTTCACGCACATCACTCATTAAATAAAACTAGTTTTTACGGGTTAATGCACGAAAACTTTATTTATTTATTGACGTTTCGCAGCCTTTTCAGGTCTGCATCGTCAGAATAATGTTTTTTTTTTTTTTAATCATTAATTTGACGATGCAGACCTGAAAAGGCTGCGAAACGTCAATAAATAAATAAAGTTTTCGTGCATTAACCCGTAAAAACTAGTTTTATCAAAATATTTTTATTCACCAATACAAATGTTAACCTAGCTTACAATTAAACAGTGGTTTTTGCACTGAGCTGAGCTCGTAAAGCAAAAACCTAACATTTCAGTTTTTCTGAATATAATATATAATAGTAAGCTACTTTTTAATATTGAAGTATACATGTAGCAATAAAGTATCGGGTTAATAGTACATTAGCCAAGTTTATACATCGGACAGTTAAAAAGTATGTACTTAACATACAAATTCCTGTCCAAATGATGTAGAACAATTCTTTGTATTTGTTTTATTTCGGTTGTAAATCGATAATTTAATCCAGCTAAAATTCAAAGATAACCACATTCATCGCCTTAGGCGGTACTAAGTTCGACGGCCGATTAGAGGCCGGAAGGGTTGGGAGAAAACCGTTTATCGCGATATCCGGGATAACTATAACTCCCATCGAAAATAGAATAAAAAAGTTACAAATAATTAAAGGATTTGACGACCTCCGTGGCCAAGTGGTTTTTACGCCGGGTTTCATGGTGTCGCCGACTCGAAAGGTCCCGGGTTCGAGTCCCGGTGGGGGCAGATGTTTGTGTGATAAATAAGAGCATTTGTACTCCAGCCATGGATGTTTAATATGTTTTTCTATATAAATATACTTCTATATGTACAGTATATGTATTCTATCCGTTACCCTAGCATCCCATAACACAAGCCTTACAGTGCTTACTTTGGGGCTAGGCTAATTTGTGTGAGTGTTGGAAATATTTATTTATTTAAAGGATCAACGACTTTTGTTTAACCGTAACAATCGCCTAAAAATGCAAATAGCCGTCTTTTTGTTTCACCTCCTACATTAACAATAGTTGCAAATCTTTTAACCGTCTGAAAATTTATCAGTAGTTAAGTACTACTACAGATAAATTCAAGCTCACTGCTATTAAATATTAAAATCGCGGTGAGCCTTTCCAATTTGTAAGGAGACTTTCACTTCCTGGGGCAGAATTTGTCTATCAGCCAGTTTCAATAATCAAGCTTCTTCAGTAGTCTGTGCGGAAAGATAATGGGCGTGGCGAAAAACGGAACTAACATTCAGATTTTTATTTGGCAATCAAACCCAGCAATCTGTTAAACGTCAAAGTTTTGTATTGGTACGGATTTGTTTGTTGTTGTGATTTCTTGCGGTTTTTTGTATTTAATCATGTCTAAAAGGGGTAAAACCTTACAAATACGGTAGAAAAGCACTACAGCGCCCTCCAATCTAAATCCCATTCTCTTTCCGCACAGACTCTAAAAGATAAGGATAATCTGGTTTCGATTGTAAGCAACGGTTGTAATTATAGTCTTTAAAAACATACATACATACTTACATACACTCCCTAAACATTACCCTCCCTCTTTGGCAGTCGGGTAATAAAAATATCTTTCAACAAAGTTCAAGTAGGTCTACTTCTTTTTTTTTTGCAGTTCTCCCTTTTCAGGGAAGGCAAAAGGATCAATGCCCATACAGCCTCATCTTTAGTTTTTTTATTTATTAGAATTAGAAAATTAATTTTAATAAATAATTTTGTTTGATGAATTTCAGATATTCTTCTTTATATATTGCTTAGTATCAGTTTTTTTTAATGTATTTTATATATACAAGGAAATAAAAAGGCAGCTAACTACCAAAATAGACACAAACTTATTTTATGAAAAACCTTATTATCGAGTTCAAATAATATACAACCTACCTAATAACCAGAATGGCCGAAACCAACAAACAAAACCAACAATCAACAGAGATGATACGAAATACTTTTTTTAAATTATTAACAAAATTACCATACAAATACAGAAACCATAACAACCAAAACGAAAAGAAGAAAATAAAATGCGTAGACAGAGAATAGCATTTATACCTATTCTCTCTCTTTCTCTCTACACTGGAGTTTAATTATTGAAACCAGGGGGGGGGGGGGGGGGGGGGGATCTCTTCTCGATTTAGTGTAATTTGGGGATTCAACAAGTTTCTCTTCTAAGATAAATGAGCTATGGGTTGATTTGGGTTAACCTGTATTCGCCATATATTATGTATATGGCGAATACAGCCATATACATAATATATCGCCGTATGTATTACGTAGAAACTATGATGGTTTAAGCAACCAACTATTACTAAATTTAAGTAAAACTAAATATATATCGCCGATATAGGCTAGATATATCAGAAGCCGTCGGTTCTAGCTGCATCTGCAGTCGTTAGCACCCGCCAAACCGCACTGGGCCCGCGTAGTGAGTCATGGCCCAATCTCCCTATTCCATCCATAGGGAAGGCATGTGCCCCAGCAGTGGGGACATTAATAGGCTGATGATGATGATGATGAGGAAATTTATAGCATTCTCCTCACGATCACCTTTGCAATCAACCAATCAAATATCTAGGGGTTGTACTCGATAAATGTCTTTATTGCCTATTTGACATGACAGTATGAAAAATAATGTACCAATTGTTGGCATTCAATATGAAAATAAACAGCGATTTTATGTAAGATGTTATTATGTGTGAGTTGGGTATCATTTTTAGGGTTTCTTGCTAAAAAAGATTAAAAAGGGACCCCATTGGTTGTCACCTGTTGTCAATCTGTATGTTCGGGTCTCTAGATCATAAACGTATGTAGAATGCTTGCAGAAAATGAAATAATTAAAGAACATTTAATTATCTTATTTTTCACGTAGTGCGATGGAAACCTTACCTTTTTTTAACCCCAGCATGTGACACGTCATTGTCTAGAGCTTGTTGAATTCGAATAACAAAGAAACCATTTCTTTGAATGGTCATTTCAAAATTAAAACTGGTTAGGAATGTGAATTTTTTGTATATGCTGTAGAGGGCTATTTAAACAACAAATACTGAAAAAGTCGCATAGATAATGTTAAGGAACCCTTCGTGCGCGAGTACGAATCGCACTTGGCCGGCATTTTTTACTATTTTATAGAGAAGACTTAATTGCCAGACTTTATCTAAAGCTTGACTTATATCCAAAAATCCAGCTAAACAATATTGTTAACTATCTAGAGTATTAATAGTGCACACAATTTGGTGTATCTGCTCTACAGTAGCATGGTACTCTCGGAACCTAAAACAACTACTGAACTGATTTGGATGAAATTTGGTACGTATATAGTTATGATCTGGATTAAGGCACAGGATACTTTTTAACCTTAAAAAATTTAGGTTCCTGTGGGGTTCTCGAAAAAAATAAACCAAATTAAAATATTAAACAAACAACATAAATAATATCATAGCAGTGTGAGATTGGTTAAAGTTTTTATGGAGAAGGAAAAATCCAGAAAGATAAAGCATATTTTGATATTATAATATTAATACCTTATAAAAGGATTAAATTAAGCGACTCATATTAAAATTACAATAAAAAAACTATTAATAAAAAGGAAATTAATTACACTTACCTTTTTCTCCATTTCATACGCATAAACATCAGTCATATTTCTCCATGGAACATACTTCTTTTGGATGGTACCCGAAACATCTTCTTCTTCAAGGATCTTATAACCTTCATTCTTGTTTAATTTTAGAGAAAAAACTTCATCGTCTTTTTTATAAGAACTAATCCATTCTTTATGAAAACTAGTGCTTGGTAGTTTCACAGTAATATTTGAATTTATTTCTTTCAAAGTGTTTCTTACGAAATTTATATCGACTGTCTCATTGTTGTCAGCATCACAATATCTAGGTAAGAAATAATAAACAAAACTCGGCGTCAAGTCCTGAATAATATCAAAGTCATTAGCAAAATAGTCATTCTTCATTTTCATATAATTCTTCTCATTTTCACTCTCACCGAGAGTCCTTTTTATCACTGTCATAATAAATGGATATTTTGGGGCAAAAATATAAGATATAGAATATAGCTTAGCAGCTAAATATTGTGCATGGAGTCTCGTATTGAACATCTGACCCATGGTGTGACTCAGTAAGAAATCCATTACAAATTCGAAACCTCTTGAGTTACTGTCTTTCTTTCTCGTAATTAAGGGTTTTACTGTCCAATACAGCACTAAGAGCTTTGATGTTAATGGAACATCATATAGATTCCTTAGTAATTCATCATCTAGACCTATTTCCTGCAAAATAATAAGGAATCAAGATACTTTAAAACAATAACAAACGGCACTACACGAGCTGTACATCAAGCACGAACAACTAGCGAAAAAGTATTCGTATCGTCCTGTCTTTTCTATGGTAAAAGCTAGTTTGTTCTTACATCTGGTAGGGATCTGCTTAGTTTCCACAGAAAATTTGACATGACGATACGAATACGGATCTATCAAAGCGTGCTTGGGGTATAGATTTAAAGCGTATTTGGCGTCCAAATGAAGGTAGATGTAGCAAAAATATGTACTACGTCACAGACAAGAAACATTTTTTATCTGTGGAGCACCAGATGTCCGCCGTAATATCAAGTTCCCAAATAGACAACACATTACATATAATGCGATTCAACTAAGAATAGGATCGACGGGGCGCCATATTGTGACGTCATAGCTGTCAATTCAAACGAAAAAGGTAGAGTGAGCAAAAAAGTTTTTATTTAATAAAAGTTATTTACTAAGATTAAGTGAGAAAAAACATCCGATTTTTTAATAAAATTTATTTACTAAAATTGAGAAAAGAAAATAACCTTTTTTAATAATATTTATTTATTAAGACTGTGCGAGAAAAAACATTAATCAGAATTAAGCTCTTCAATTCCGCTCATCTCTGCATTACCGCCGGAGTAGTTATGAATAATCATACACTATTACTAGGTCACATACGAACATGCATCCTATATGTAAACCAAAGTTTTAAAACGAGTTTCTGATTGGTTGACGATTTAGGTTATCAAACATTCATAGCCAAATCTCAATAAATGAAAATAAAATATCAACCAATATTAATTGACAATATTTGTTATTGTTTGTTTACAAATGTTTGGTTTTTATTCCATAATTAGCTGTGTGTTAAAAAAGGGTTCCAAGATTTTTTTGCAAGCCGTACTTTTCAAGCGACATTTGACAGATGGAGGTCATTGGCTTTCCTATTCTTATTTGAATCGCATTATATTTGCTTCAATTAATAATCGTGCAACCATAAAATAGGGAATGAAAATGACGGTCCCTGATGGTCCTTCGAGCCGCATCAAGCTTGAGCTTTCTTTAAATTTTTTTTTGTTAATTATTAAATTCACAAACCATTATATCCAAATGCAAGGCTATATACCATTCCAGACATATTCTCACGCTGATTTGATGAGGTAATTTCCCTAAAAACTCTATACACCAATTCAGAGTCTCCATAGATGTATTAAGGTGATCAACTTTCATTAGTGATATAAGTAGCAGATGTTGTATCCCTGCTAAAAGTAATCTGTGCGCTTGAGAGTGGCCATGATACCGCGTTTTGTTTTTAAATACATCATCTATTTTGTTTCTAATGAATTTTTCAATGGTGCTAAGTATTTCCAGGTCTTTGATCTTCGATAGAGCGAGCACAGACAGATATTGGATCTCAAAGTTGAAATGTGAGTCAAATCTGAAAAATTATTTTATATGTCAAAGCTAGCTACAGCACAATGAATTCGCTAGTGATCTCTGTTTTAAAAAACAATCATCATTATCAACCAGCCTATCAATATCCCAACTGCTAAGGCACAGGCTTTGCCTGAGCAAAGCCTGGGCAGTGGGGATTGAGGGGTGCTGGCGACTGCAGATGCAATCGAGAACAACGGCTTAACGCATCTTTCGAATCAACGAGGAATTCTAGATAATAAATTTTTGGTCACCCATCTTATGATCAATCATTGCGAAAGTAGCTTAAATTCCACGATTGCAGACCGAAAGGCGGTCACTACTATGCTAACAAGCTTCTAATTAAAAAATAAAACAGTATGAACTCTGAAAAATATATAAATATATTACTTATATATTTACTGCAACCAATCTACACTGGGCTTTATGGTGGGCCACCAGGTCCATTACCTTTGATCCAGCAATAGAGATATTAAGAGGCTGTTGGTTTTCAATCCTTACTTACTTTGCTCTATCAAAACCATATCTAGGCTCTTGCAATACTTCCACCATAAGGTTTTCAGTAATCCTGAAAATAAAAGAAAGTTTCATTTTCACGACAAAAGGATTTATAAGTATTTTTTTACGTATGAAACTTTACCTTTGATCTTTTCGTGGTACAGGCGAGTACATTAACACTTCAGAAAGAATGTAGATAACATGACCATAGTCTTTTGTGAAAACTATATTATTAAGCTTACTGATTAAATAGTATAGTGGTGTTACTTTGACTGCACTAAAGTCTATAATTTTTTTACAGTACAGTATTACTGTATTGTTATAGTCAGGTATTTTCAACAGCTGTTCATGTGTTATCAAGTTGACAAATTCTTCAATACATGGTGTATATTGGTTGTTAGATTTCAATTCCTCTATTTCTTTCCACATTCTAAAAACAAGTTGCCCCAAATTGATATTTATATTGCTTTTTGCAATCACATAAGGTAAAGTCATAACCAATATTTTCAAGCACAATCTAAGGCAACCATATCCACCACAGTCTAAAACAACTTCAATATATTTTACTAAATGGTCGGCATGCTTTTCTATATCAATTTCTTTTTGGTCAAGCATTGTGAAAACTATTTCACAAGATTTTTCATAAAACGCATTCCTCAATTTACCCATACTCTGCTTACTTTTAAAATTTTCAATAATTACTAGCAGATCTTCTAAAGCCAACATCTCATGCTTGTAATTAGACAGTAGTATTGCACTATTTGTCAAACTATGCATTATATGCAAACACAATACAACATTCTCCAAAGCTACATTTTTATCTTTGATAAACAGCAGTGATGCCTTATACAGCTGTAGTAAATCTTCTTTAAGGTGTTCAATATTTTTTGCATTTGATATTGTGTAAAGTCCATCATTGACTAAAATAATATCCTCGAGACTTAATATAGTATTACTAAGAAGTAGGTTCAATATATAGAACAAAACAGTTTTAAATTTTGCCAAAATTACTACATTTAATGTATCTAAAGCAGCGTGTTCTATGGTATTTAATTTTCTAATTAATTGAGTCAAATAAATTACATCATGAAGGCAATCTCTTTTATCTGAATATTGCCTACTTGAAATATCATCAATCTTCTTAAATTTTTCTAATAATATCTCAATATATATTGACAAATCTTCCTTGTGATGCAGAAAGTAGAGTAGACCGAAGTTTATATTCAAATGTGTCTCTAGTAAAAATTCACAAAATGACTCCTTATCTTCTTTTCTTACCATATCTTTAATCAAACTTACAAAAGGGTCATCCAAATAACTACTGGTCTGGTAGAGTAAGGGTAAAAGTAAATGAATGTTAGCATAATCTCTCCAATGTAGCCCTGTGCAACAATGTGCAGTAAAATAAGCAATATTTATATGTGCAGCTTTTCTTAGAGACACATTGTTACAAGGAATTTTCAATATGTTTATAATTGTAGTTGAAGTCTGATGTCCTGTAAGCTTGATACTGTTTTCCAGGTCTTTATTAGCTAGAATGCTGCTTATGTAGTAAAAAGGAACCGGTGACCATTGTATTGTAGGGATTGATGTAAATATATACATAAACACAGTCTCATCCTTTATATATGACCGAAATTTTGTTTTCAACACTTCTATTTCATAGCTGTTAGCATAGTTATTTATATCATTAAGAGCCTCAAGTAATGTTACAGCTTCTGGTTGACTATTTAGTTTTGTTTCAAGTCGATATTGTATACATTTTAATCTTACTTGAGTATTATCATGTTTCAATCCTATATTCAAGGCACAGTTTAGCCAATGTCCCATGTCTTTCAAAGATGAAAATATTTTTAAAGATGGCAATACAATATTACTTTGTTTTTCTTCTAAACTGTCAATGAGAATAAAATAATTATCCCACATTAATTTGAGGGAATCACTTTTATTATGTAGCCATTGAAATAATATATTGCCTTCCGATTCCACAATAACATTAGTTTTCAGAGTGTTCACATAATCTAATGCTCTTTTAGCAAGATACACAGATAATTTTCTTAATAATAAATCTGTTGATAACAGACCATACAAAATGGTATGCCAAAATTGAGATTGATTCACAATATTAGATTCAAATAATACAATCCCATCGCTATCTGATGTGGGTAAGAAATAATCAGAAAGGGAGCTCAATACTTTCAAAGCAATAGATCTGTCCTCTCCCTTTAGCTGCTCAATGTAATTCCAAATCAGGTCAAGTATGTTAAAACCAGTCACAGAAGCAAACACTGCTGGCACAGTACTATTTAAAAAATGAATTTTCAATTTTTCATTCAAACTTTTCAATATACTTTCTACAGATAGCTCTAAAAATGGCAAATACAATTGCTTATTACGCTTTAAAACTGTATGTAGTATACTGTCTGCTACTTTCAAAATCAAAATAGCTCTCGTATCATCTGATACTTCAACTGTCTCATCTTGTAAGGTTAATTCACTAAAAATCTGTTGAATAAAATGTTCCGATTTTCTTACCAATGTGCTTGTATTTAAACTAAGAGCGATAGAAATTATTTTACAAATATTATCAATATTGCTTGAATCTATTTCTTTAACAAGTTTTGCGGCAAACTCATATTCCTCATCATTTTCGCATTCGCTGTTCTCTTGCATGTTGACAAGTTGTTTATATTGTAGAAATTGTATAGCACTTACCAAATGCTTGTTGGAGAATTCTTTGCGTGCCATAATAGATTTAAGACGGGAATCTATTACCTCTTCGTCTAAATCCAGTAAATCTAAAAACGACAGTATGTTTTCTTGGAAATTCATTTTGATATTATTTTTTACGTTAGGTTAAAGTTACTTTAGCCCTAAAGTTAAACTTCGCAAAGTACTTAAAAACTTTACTACCGTCGTTGTTTTACCTTATTACAACAAGATTTATAAAACTTCAATTATGTTATTTAAATCTGCATGGTTTGATGATATATTTAAACTATATTAATTGTAAACAGAAAATTGAATAAAACCACCCTGGCAGGGCAGGAGGATCTGAGTTTTTTTGACAGTGACAACTGACAATAACACTAGTACTGCCAAGTATTTACTGCAACAGTTACGGGTACGCTACGCACTCAGACTTCGCTGAACCAGGTTACATCAAAAACGACTCAATGGTCAATTACAGGTCTCAATTCTTTAATAGACCTGATTTTCTAAACTTCAAACTAAGTTACTTATCGGCAACCTCTCCTTTTTATTCTTCTCGGGCATGATAAGGAAACACCGCTGTCAATTCTAGGTTTAGTGAATCACATCCATAGACGTACAGCTCGCGCCACTCTTGTAATCCGCTCAAAGCCCTTACTCTGACTAAGGGTGATGTAATATGAGTTAGGGAGTAAGGGACTCGATCCAGGGCGATCGGTGCGACCTAATTTCCCTGACGATCGGGTGAGTGAGCTGTTAGGCAGTAACGGAGCTCAGTCTTCGCTCTGAGTTCGTATAGTACGAACATTTTTGTAATTGAATTAGTTTATTGGAGCGATGCCAACTAATGAAGAGTAAGATGTGTTACTTAACTTTAATTGAGATCAACTATAATTTATGTGCCAAAAAGAAATCAAAAACTATTTCATTAAGGCACATATTTAAATAATCAACGAAAAATAGTTAGTATGTATATACGATTTAAAAAAAAATGTTGATCATTTACATATTAATAAAGAGAAAAGTGCCGAAGGATTTAAGACCAAATACTTTAAGAAATAAGTATTTATTTAATACAATTCGACATGAGTCAACTAGCCTATTCGGATTTCTCTATAGTCTAGGAGATAAAAACGTATATTATTAAGATTCTGTATTAAAGAAATTTCAGGGTTTTAGACAAATGAAATTGTTTTCGCTATAACTTTTTATTTTTACTTTTTAGTCTTTAATACACAGTTTCTTTAATATGTAGTAGCGTATTTTAGTGAAATCCACAAAAGTGCTATACATCTGGAACGAAATAAACGACTACAGAAAATTAAATTTTCAGAATCTTGGAGCTCCTTGAATGCTGTCTGGATAAAACAGATAAGTACTTTAACGATGATGGCAAGTTACAAAATATATCTTTTAAGTTGCAGTGATCACAGTGCTAATAGGACTGCAAGGTCCCAAAATCTGAAACGTTAATAATAATTTCGGATCTCGAGATAAATAAAGTATTCGTAATCAGCTCCACTTAAAACTATAAATTCAATAAAAACTCATATTACCATTATTTGAAAGAAAAAACTCCGTATGATCAAAAAATAGTTTACAATTTAGTGATGTAAGGGAAAATTTGATTTATTCTAGAATATCAAATGGATCTTGACTGTTGATCTATCTATATTTTGTCTGTATGTATCTATATTTTTGTATACAGAATATGTAAATATAAATCTAAAAGTCTAAAAAATATAAATGAACTTTCTGATTAATATATTTGTTTCTAAGGTTTTCACACACATCACTCTAAAACTAGTTTTAACGGGTTAACGCACGAACTTTATTTATTTATTGACGTTTCGCAGCCTTTTCAGTTCTGCATCGTCAGAATAATGATATATTTGAAAAAGTCTTTGGAAGGTAGCAACGACAAACCTTGTCCCCCATTAAAAGTGGCGAAAATTTTTGTTCGGCGAGTGAACGATATGGCATCTCCATTAGTATATGTCCTAAACTGTTTAGGTCTTAAAAAGTTATAGTGGAGTGGAATAAAAACATACTTACAATTCATAGAAACATACATACAATTTATATTTACATTACACTTTTTTGGTAGTCGTATAAAACTTAGTAGCGGCGATATGATGGCCGTTTTGATACAAGGCATAGTGACGCTTAAAGTTAACCTGTTCTCGGAAAAAAACCTATATAATCAAATAAGAGTCAAATCTAGGTATTAAAAAAATGTTTTTTTGAAATTTGCTGATTATACAGATTGAATAAAACGCAAACATAAATTTTTACTTACGCTTGGCGATACTATATTTAACGATCTTATTAATTTCATGTATTTACATTTTGTATTTCGAACAACATAAATGCCAAGTTATGTGGAGTATAAGTACACTAGAATAATAATTATTATTTGTATACTATAACATTAACTAACTTATGATAATAAGAATAAAACAATTATTTAAATTAATTGACTTATTCCTTTAAAGATTCTGTCAAAGGGCCAATGTTTTTGAGTAAAAAATGATGATCGTATTTAATCGTTTTAAACTTGTTACCTTATTATAAGTTAGACCAAGATTTTATACAGTTTTGTAAAATTTAATTTCTATTTAATTCATCATTGTCATTAGGGACGCGCATTTAGTCATAAAATTTATCGTCGTTAATTAGCGATTCGATAAATTTTATGACTAAATGCGCGTCCCTAATGACAATGATGAACAATAATTATTTCTTTCTTCAAATGTAAAACTAATTTCGAATTTAGAATATAAAACTTCATGAACGCAGAAACGTCAGATTACCATAACAGCTTGCCGCTACTTAGGTGTAAAAATTCTTGTGGAACAGGTATATAGCATAAGTACGATTTAAGCAGGATGGCCTCAAACTGCCATAGACTAGGTTTTTGACATTTGTACTTCCATAGATAAAGATTTTTTTGGTTTTTCACCGTGCTTATATTTTACTACCAATTTAGTAGATAGAATGTCAAAAATTAAACCAATTTTCTCATTTTTCATCTTCAATTTGATATTAGTGACATTTCATTCATCATCATGTTCATTTGGGTGTTTCATGAAAACTAATAAATAAACCAACAAACAACCAACTAATTTACTGTAATGACAAACCTTATTATTTTAAAATATACATATTTAAGTTTCATATTATGTAAGTACAATATATGTAATTTTCTATCTTACGCCATCCCTAAGAGCACACAAGCTTAACAGCTAAAGAGTCTCAATATAAGTAATATAAAAATCTCTTAGGGACTGCTTCGGTTGACCACCGAAAGGAACTAAGCGGATGGCACCTCCCCTCGGCGGGAGTCTCCTCTACGTCTGAAGCCTTTACACCACCTGATGACTCGAACCTGATATGGGCGTCTCTGAGACTCGTACCTCAACTCTAGTAAGCTATTGGCTTGGGTGGGGGGTGGGAGGGAATCTCCCAGCGCGCTCAGTCCACTCGTGTACGCCAGCCACACGAGCGAGCGAGATACAGCTCTATAGGTACGTGTGAGACACTTACTAGGTGCCGCATCGCACGTGTGTAGTAAGTAGATAGGTGTGGATATATTGTTTTAATCTTTCATGGTCACTAACATTAAAGTAATATAAGTTATTTACCGGATTGTTACCATGTACCTTGTTTTTAGCGAGTTTCTGATATTTCGGCACTGTTGCAAGCGCCATGATCACCGAGTAACTGAAGTAATTGCGGGTAGGCTGTTATTGTCAGACATATCGGTCTACTCTCCGACAAAGTCTTTTATTGCGTTCGATACCCGTACTACTGTTCACATTCTCACTATTCATTCGAAACTGTTAAAAAAAATGGGTGCGTGTACGTAGGCGCGTGAGAAGTTATCCTTCTTTGGCATCGTTTAAAATTAGTTTTTAATTGCATGCAAATAATTAATTACAATAAATTAATAAAAAGTCTGGAAAAGGACACAGTCAATAAAGTTCAGTTTTAATTTGAAAAAATAAATAAATAATCAAAATATTCAATTAAAATCGCTACTGAATATAATTTATTAGAACATATGTGATTTGCACTTGTATGAAACCGATGGTCAAGAGATGGCGCTGTAGTCTCCTGAATCGCGCTTTGGTTCCGTTGTTCCAGATTAATAAATACTTTTGATAGGCCTTCACAATGCAGTCGTTAGCACCCACTAAATAGAGATTCTATTTCTATTTTGTTGGTAGATTTTCTTAATGTGCGGTAAACACAAAAGTAACAGCATGAAGATGGTCGCTAAAGCGACGCTCGTTTCGTTTCGTTTCGTTTCGTTTCTTTCATTTCATTTCATTTCATTTCATTTCATTTCATTTCATTTCATTTCATTTCATTTCATTTCATTTCATTCCATTTCATTTCATTTCATTTCATTTCATTTCATTTCATTTCATTTCATTTCATTTCAATGTCCCGTTGAAATCTGCCCTGTTTGCTTTGTTCAAATCTGCCCCACGGTCACTTGGAAAATAAAATATTACAAATAACGCGCCCGCGGCTAACTTCATTATGTTAAAATTTTGTGTTACAGTGATGAAAATTTCACTCTCATAATTTTTTCATAACGCGGCTAAAGAAGTATAACTTCAATAATTATTTGGAACATAAAATGGCTATAACAAAACACGATGAGGAGCTCGATGGCGCAAGTGGTTAGCGCGATCAGCTGCGATCGTTGAAGTTAAGCAACTTTTGCAGTGGTCGGTCATTGGATGGGTGACCAAAAATTTACAATCTCGAGTTCCTCCGTGCTTCGGAAGGCACGTTAAGCCGTTGGTCCCGGCTGCATCTGCAGTCGTTAGCACCCACCAATCCGCACTTGGCCAGCGTGGTGGGTCATGGCCCAATCTCCCTAGTCCATCCATAGGGAAGGCCTGTGCCCCAGCAGTGGGGACATTAATAGGCTGATGATGATGATGATGATGAACAAAACACGATGAATTATTTTCAACCGAAAACAACCGCTGTTTATGGGCGTAGAGCGAAAAAGCGGTTGTGATCGGCTGGTTGAGATGATAACAACTGTCAGTTGGGTCTAATGAGCTTTGACCTTTATCCTACGGGTGCAGTGTCGGCCTAATGCTAAGCTAGTATTAGACCTGTGCCAATCGATTATTTGTCGTAACCCGGGTCGATCACGACCCATTCGTGTGGTGATCGGGTTAAAATGATTCGATCTTTTCGATCATTTGGGTCACAGTTCGTTTGATTCGTTTGTACGACAGAGTGACGAATGCTGAGCAGGTTATTGCTAGATAGAATCATGCATGACATAACTATTTTCGCGATACCATCCCAGAATAATATAATATATTATGTTTAGGAGCATGTCGTCTGTTTGAAATGTATTGTACTGTATGTAATAATTAGTTAATTTTATAAACATTCTTCTTAGATTTTACTTAAAAAATAGCTCTGTTTATCTATTGTCTACCTACCTACCAAAAGAACGAACTAGTGTACATACGTACAAGCTGTGCTAAGTTGGAACTGAGCATCATCGTGACATAAAACACAACTCAATCTACTTAAAAAAAAAGATAAACTAAAGAAAAATGGTTTTATTGATTATTGTCAGGTTCTCAATCTCAACTCTCGAGACAGGTCGCGAACGACTGGTCGTCGCGCGAGCCATGATTGAATGCATGACTCGATCAATTGTACAAGCAAGCAATTAGTTACAGCAACACTATGAAAATAAAGTTCAATTTAGTTTGTTTTGCACGACTCGATCATTTGTACAAGCAAGTGCAGCAAGCGTTATACTATGGGAATAAAGTGCAATTTGGTTTGTTTTGTTTCCGGGTCAATTATGATTGAATCTTTTAAAGATCCGTGATTCGATCAATCGTGAACAGGTTGCGATCGAATCAAAACAATTCAATCAATCGCGATCGACACAGGTCTAGCTAGTATGCATATTGCTAGCTATGTAATGTTTGTGTTTGTGGCCTGTGTGGAAGGACTCAGGGGTTCGTTGGTGCGAGTGTTTTTGTCGTCGTGGTTTCTAAGACGTGCTTAGGCTGACGGAATCGGCGGGTAGGAGCTGCTAGTGGAGGGTGGGAGGGTAGACGTATGATAACTAGAGATTTTAACTAGTCGGGGCTCGGATGTTTCACGGCTTTAACGATATAACGTCTCTTCGTCCTTCGTGTATTTCGCGATGAAATCTTATTTAGGATCACGCGATGCAAATTGACATTGTTCACGTACCACGGGTGACCCATGGCACTGCGAAATATACGCTTTATGGCGGAGTACCAGTTAGAAATGGGAAAAAAGCAGTAAATGGCAAGGTACCACATAGGCAGACGAGCTCAAATAGACGATGACAGTTCACTATAGAAGAATAGCCCAAAACAGATCTGAGTAGCCTCTATAGTGGCAGGGGGAGGCCTCGTATCATTGCCATGACACGCAGCTTACATTGCATAACAAAGTGACAAAATGAGTGTTTTCTTTATATCGCGCAGCCACTCAATTCCTTAGTAAATTTAGCTTTGCTAGACTTTATGTCAATACTCATTTCTACACAAAATGGTTTTGAAGGGCTTTTTAATGAGGTGTTACGGTGGTGAATCTAGGGTTTTTAATATCGTTGTTTTCAATGTATAACTTTACTCTTAGGTTGGTGGGACTTGGGATGGGAATATAAGCTAACTAGTAGTTTAATTTGTTCAGTGCATGGCAACTTATTTATACTACCTGCCAAAAAACAAAAAAAAAATTGTAAAAATTATTTTCTTGTTATATTTTTTGAACATCTTCACTTCAGAGTTGAGTTTTAGTTCAATTGCATGAAACTGTTATAAATTCAACTGAATTGTTTGTATAGCTAGTTTATGTTTTTTTTAGTTGAAGAATAGTTTTTGTTTGAAATGGAAGACAATACTTCGAGTGACGACGATGTTAAAGATTCACCTCTAAGTCCAAAATTAGGTGGAAAAAAGTTCAAGTTAAATGATGGAAGTTCACAGGACAGTTTAACAGAAACAGGTAAACAAAGATTTGCTTAATCGTAATAAGTATAAAATAAAATTGCAGTGAGAAAAGTGTGACGTAAAATTTGTGAATGCGTGACAATTGTTTTTTTAAGTTGCTACAACGAGTAAAGTTAAAAAGGAGGAGAATGTAGATAGCGGTGTTTCTGCGGATAAGTCTGAGAGTACGAGCAGCGATGATCGGGTTAGGGGGGCCAATGAAGGTCCCTCAAACGAAGTTGTTAATGTAGCACCTTCCAGTAGTAACGTACGAGAGATTTTGTTAAACATACGAAGGCCCAGACGCAGCCGAAACTACAGGAAACGAAAAACACCAGACAGAGACTCAGATAGTGGTGATTCCTCAAGAGATTCTGATGATTTGTCACCAGAAGAGAGCACTGTTGACATGAGGCCCGAGACCAGTAATTCAGAATGTGATAGTTCAGATGATCAAGCATTTGTTCCTAATTTTTCAGATCCTTCACCTGAAAGTGGGTGAGTCTTTAGCTGTTCTGAGTCTAGTAATTTCTACTGTAATAAGTTTACATCATAGTGATTTGTTAGGAAAAAATTAAAAACTTGTAGATTAGGGTAATTACTTGGGAATCTGCTATTTGTAAGAGAAAATTCCCTATACAAGAATAAGAAAATGGAAAAAAAAAACATTTTTTTATGATTTCAATGGTTCCTAACAATTTATAAAGGGACATGTGATTGCTCTTTTTGCTAACATAGCCTTTAAGTATACCCTTTTTTATCAGCTTGTTTAATAAAATAAAATGATAATATTGATATACAGATGTGACTTTAAATCTAAAAAAACATTTCCAATAACTACAAATTGTAGAATAGAATATTTTTATTTGCCTTGTGTGTGTATTTTTACAGATGTTCAGTCAATAATAATTAGCGATCTCACATTTTGCCATTTTCGGCATGCAAAAATCTTTCTTTAGCTTAGAAGAATTAACTACAACTGAGACTACAACAGATAGCATTTACAAACAAAAAAAAAATACAAAAATGTAAAAGCAAAAGTCCTAACTTAGAAACATCATGGAACATAATATTCTATCATTTTTAGAAGTCATAATGATTCAATAGTTATTAATATCAAATTAAGATATCAACCAAGAAGATGCCAAATATGAATATCAAAATATTAACTAAATAATATCATTGTTTAACAAAATTGTAATAACATTTTCCACATAAAATAACAGCTGTGGTGATTAATTATTTTTATCCATGTCATAAAATTAAAGTCAAACTTTTGTAGAAATAGTACTTTTGAGTAGTTTTCATAGTGATATAGTATTATAAAAGAATTATAGATAACCTTTGCCTTTTATGCAGATCCAGTTCGTCAGGTAGTAATGATAGTTATGATGATGACTTGGTTGACATGCATAGTGTTGACACAGACAGTGAAGATGAAGATGTATGGTCGAGGACCAGAGAAAATGTTGAAAATGAAGAATTCCAAGGTGAACCACCCAGGGCGCTTCTCAAAGTCAGACCTAAGCATAACTACTTTATGTTAAGAGGTTAGTATGCAGTATCTGAGTGTAAAGCAATTAACGGTATATTTTATCAAATTAAATTTATAAATAAATTTATTCCATGCAAAGTGTATGTGAGGCACTAATGTATTGTTTATATAGTAGCTAATTTAATTAATATTTCAGGTGACATTATATTGGTAATTCATTTTTATAATAATGTTGATATGTTTTTCTTTTAGAAATCATAAACCGTGAAATGGGACTGACATTTCCCTGCAGTAAAACATCAAAAAGCAACCTAATGTTTGAACAAAAATTTTATGGGTCACTTCACGTAGTGTACAGAATGGACAAAATGTTCCAATTAAATCAACATAAAGGCTGTGTAAATTCAATAAATTTTCACCCTGAAGGTAAGTTATAATTTTATGGGTCACTTCACGTAGTGTACAGAATGGACAAAATGTTCCAATTAAATCAACATAAAGGCTGTGTAAATTCAATAAATTTTCACCCTGAAGGTACGGGATTTTCACTACCCAATTTTAAGGGACATTTACCCTGACTAAGGGGTGGTGTAATGTTAGTTAGGGAGTAAGGGACCCGATCTAGGCAATTCACACACTGTTAAATTGATACCACCCTAGCCAGGGGCCACCCCTGTCGATCGGGCCCTTAAAATCTTGACAGTAGATTAAGCAGTACATAAGAACCAAATGTTTTTTTTCTCATAGACCACTTTCCGAAATTTACTGGTTATATTTAAATTTGCCAAAATTATAAAAGTTACATGTTAATGTTGTACATTGGGCCTAATTCGGGCATGAATCTCCAAAACAAAACCTGCCATCAGTATCTCTTTTCCAATGGGCATATATTATGACAAGGATACACTCTATTCCTAATGAGGACCGTGAGACTACCTAAACAGAGGCTGCCCTATCTTCTTCCTCTCATTTCAACCAAATAAAACTCATGTGATGTTTTTAATATGTTTAGACAAGTTTTTGGAACATTAACTACTATATTCTCAATTTTCAAATGAGGCAGTCATAGCAGACTATAAAGATTTTCGCTCCAACAATTTTCTCAGCAAAGAAATCAAAAAACTAGGTACCTATAAAATTGCACAAACTGCATGAGGATTATATAGGTACAAAGTAGATACATACATTGATTAATTGAATATGTTGTTTCATTGTATTGCCACTGTAACAATATAATTTTTTGTAAATATTGTTACATAGTTATTTAACGCTGTGAAGTTTTTCGACAGTTTTCTCCACAGCTAAAAAAATGCCCTTAACTGGTGGTAGGGGGAAAAATATGGACGATTGAAAAGAGTTGTATGTTGCATCCAATTTGAATAAAGATATTTTGACTTTTGACATTTTTATCGTGTCACTTTTTCCATATAAAAGGCCAATTTCACATGTAAGGACCTTATATAAAGGAAATATTGGTGTCGATTCTGGTATGATTCTCCAAATTTTAAACTAAATTTAATATCATTCTCTCCTTTTCATTTTATATAGAACGTGACAAGGATACACTGTTGTCAAATTTAAGTTTAGGTTTAGAGAATCATGCCAGAATCAACACCACTGTATATCAAATGATTTTAATACAAACACCATTAATACTTTTCAGGCCATCTCTTAGCGTCAGGTTCAGATGACCAGAATGTTATAATCTGGGATTGGGCTCACAACAAAGCATTGCAGACCATCAAGACAGGTCATAGGTCGAACGTGTTTCAAAGCAAGTTCCTACACCTCAATGCCAAGAGTCAACTGAACATAGTCACCTGTGCGAGGGATGGTCAGGTGATAATACTGAAATTTAATTATTTGTATAAAGAGAAATTCACAATTGAACTGTAACTTTTTCTGATGTATTTTTTTGTCATGTCGCTATTGCCATTTATCAAAAGATCATATCCTGAGATTATGATGTAGTTTCCTCATCAAGCCCCAGTCCCGACTGCATTTTCAATTTGTTTTTAAACCCAGTCGGACAACTCTCATTTTTTAAAAACAATGGCAATGGCCAGTGCCGTCTTTGACCCATGATTTCCGTTTGGTGATTTAACAGGAACAAGGGACTTTGTATTTGATCTGAGGGGGGCCCCTATCGATGGCGGGGCCCTGGGCACTTGCCCAAAGTGCCCACTGGGAAAGACGGGTCTGGCAATGGCATTATTGACGACATTGACGACCTCCGTGGCCGAGTGGTTTGTACGCCGGGTTTCATGGTGTCGCCGACTCGAGAGGTCCCGGGTTCGAATCCTAGTGGGGGCAGATGTTTGTGTGATGAATATGAGCATTTGAACTCCAGTCATGGATGTTTAATATATATTTCTATATAAATATACTTATATGTGTACAGCATATTATTAAGTATTCTATCCGTTACCCTAGCGTCCCATTACACAAGCCTTACAGTGCTTACTTTGGGGCTAGGCTAATTGGTGTGTGTTGGAAATATTTATTTATTTATTTATCAGTAGCGGCCCGCCCTCGCTTCGCTTCGGTGTAGAGCTGAACAGTACAGTACAGTTTTTATAGCCCTAGGCTTGTCTTATACACAATGACACTCATCTATGATTCTTCTTATACCTGCATGCAAAGTCTCAGCCCGATTGGTTTAAAATTGACAAAGTTTCTTTCTTAGCGGATACCTACGTCATAACATCTACCTGCATGCCAAATTTCAGCCCGATCCGTCCAGTGGTTTGGGCTGTGTGTTGATAGATCACTATGTCAGTCAGTCACCTTTGAGTTATATATCATCATCATCATCGACCCATGCTCGTCCACTGCTGGACATAGGTCTCCCCTAATGCACGCCACTGCTCCCGATTTTCTGCCACTCTCATCCAGCTCACGCCAGCCAGCCTACGAATGTCATCATCCCATCTTGTCTCAGGGCGTCCGTTTACCGAGTCGCGGTCTCCACTCAAGAACTTTACGGCTCCATCGGCCGTCAGTTCTGCGGCTAATGTGACCAGCCCACTGCCACTTCAGTTTGCTAATTCGGTGGGCTATGTCGGTGACTCTAGTTCTCTGTCGCATTACATCATTTCTGATGCGGTCCTTCAGGGATACTCCGAGCATAGGCCTTTCCATAGCTCTCTGAGCGACTTTAAACTGGTGGACCAGTCCAGCCGTGAGTGTCCACGTCTCGGCGCCGTATGTCATAACTGGGAGGACGCACTGATCGAAGACTTTCGACTTGAGACATTGAGGGATGGGTGATGAGAAGACTTGACGAAGGCTACGAAATGTTATATATATATAGATAGATTAAAAGGCTGATGATGAGAGAGAAATTAATTGTACTCTCCCCGCGCGCAGATCCGTTTGATCCAATGCCCGGCGAGCGGCGGCGCTCCCGTAGTGCGTCGCAAGCTGGCAGCTCACGCCCGCGCCGCTCACAAGCTGCACGTGTCGCCGCACGAGCCGCACTTGGTGACGTCAGCCGGCGAGGACGGACTGTGTCTGCAGTGCGACGTGCGCGCCGACCAGGTTACTAGGTGAGGATGCGTACATTACTATTTCAAAAATTTCCACCCGCGCGCTAGTTCTAATGTACAAAGGATACAAAATGTTCGAAGGACCACAATATGTAGGGTTTTACCCTTACACTTGAATGCTATGCTCGGTTATGCTATGCTGAAGATACTGTATGCTAAGGAAGACGAAATAAAATGACCGGTTTGAGTGATAGTTGAAAATGCACTGATTTATTGTTAAGTATAAAGTAATAATGGTAGCGGCGCGGCGTATGCAAACGCACGGTAAGCATTAAAATTAGGTTATTGCTAAGTGATTTGATTTATTGTACGATTACTTCGTACAAATGGTATCGGGGTCGCTCCCGTAGTATGTCGCTAACCACTTACGCCATCGAGCTCCGGTACTTCATCATCATCATCATCAGCCTCTTAATGTCCCCACTGCTGGGGTACAGGCCTACCCTATGGATGGAATAGGGAGATTTGGCCGTGACCCACCACGCGGGCCCAGTGCGGATTGGCGGGTGCTAACGACTGCAGATGCAACCGAGACCAACGGCTTAATGTGCCTTCCGAAGCACGGAGGAACTCGAAATAGAATTTTTTTTTGGTCACCCATCCAATGACCGACCACTGCGAAAGTTGCTTAACTACAACGATCGCAGCCGAACGCGCTAACCACCTGCACCATCGAGCTCCTCAAGATAAGAGCTTACAGTCAAGATTTTAGTGTACCTATATTACAAACCATTTATCACACTAATATTATAAATGCGAAAGTTTGTGAGTGTATGTGTGTGTATGTTTGTTACTTCTTCACGACTAAACGGCTGGAGCGATTTTAATAAAATTTGGTATGGAGTTAGTTGACACCCTGGATTTACACAAAGGCTACGTTTTACTGCGCGAAAATATCCCTAATAAACCGCAGATGACACCGTGGGGCACAGCTAGTTTTTTTCACTTTTATTTATTTTATCGCAGATTGTTTCACGTAAAAGAACGAGGGGTGACGATACCTCTATACAGCGTTTGTGGCCATCCGCTAGACTCATGGGAACTGGTCCTGGCCGGCCGAGACAAGTTTGTACGCGTCTACGATCGCCGCAAGTCTACTAAACCAATAGCGCTGTACTGCCCTGGTGCCTTCCAAGACCACGGGGTAAGTTATAGACTAGTGACATACGTACAGACAGAAAGGCGACACAGTCACCACAGTCAGAAATACACAACATAATGATTAATATCCACTTTTTATGGACTCTATAAACATTAGTAAATAACGTGAGATCGTTTTCTCAAACTTGTCAAATAGGTACCCTATTATACCGTTTTGTTCGCCAGCTCCTCACTGATGTTATATTAAATTCTAAGTCAATGTTTCTCAAAGTGGATAATAAAAATAAATGGGCGTCAAGGATTCCGTTAAAATAGGGTTTATATGTTGAAAAGACCAAGAGATAACTGATTTGTGTTCTACTGTTATGTTTTTTTTTACACATGTTATAGGTAGCAGCAAACTTCTTGAGCATAACCACAGACAAATAATCTTGCGCAGTAGAGGTTTAGTACGTAAAATTGCCACAGCGCAAGCTTCCTTGTTTATGGTCGATGTTCAAGAAGTTTGCGGTTATACTTAACAGTAGTTATACCACTAACTTAATTATGTTATACTTAACACTGGTTATACCACTAACTACTGTTAAGTATAACATATTTTTTTTTTTATTAGTAATTTAACTGATTTTTACATAATTGTAAGTTGTATTAGAGTTTTTCAAACTTTTAGATTCTCTACTTTCTAAGTCCTTTCTTATTAGTTAGGTATATATGCTTTAAACTTTTTTAGTATTTGATTATTTGCAGACCGAAGAATTACTCTTTATTTGTAAATAAACCTAAAGTAATTCCATAATTTACATTTCCTAACATAGACAATTAATTTAAGATCTGTTTTAATTAAATTGTTAATGAATTAATTTTAAAGTGTATCATTCTAGATCATAAAATCCTGAAATACAGATAAAATTTATACTGTAACCTAGTTCAGGCATCCTACATTTTGTACTTTTTATATATTAATGTTGACCTTATCTGATTGAACAATAATATATTGTAATTATTATATTATTTATAATATGATCTATTTGCAGGGTTGTCAGAAGAAGAAGCTCAGACAATCCATGATGCATCTCACTTGCGCCGTCTATAATCACGACGGCAGCGAGATACTCGGCTCATACAACGATGACGACATATATCTGTTTGACGCCAAAAACGACGTTTATGACAAGTGAGTGTATTCTTGCAACTGAATTTTAAAGCAGTTATTCTCATATTTGTTTCTTAGGTTTTCTCGCACATCACTCATTAAATAAACAAGTTTCAACGGGTTAGATGCACTGATTTTATTAATTACTAGCGGCCCGCCCTCGCTTCGCTTCGGTGTAGAGCTGAAGTGTAGACTACAGTTTTTGTTCTCAGGCTTGTATTATACACAATGACATTCATCTATGATTCTTCATATACCTGCATGCAAAGTATCAGCCCGATCGGTTTAAAATTGAAGTTTCAGACAAACTTTCATTCCCCTTTTTATCCCCTTGGGGGTAGAATTGATCAAAATCCTTTCTTAGCGGATGCCTACTTCATAACATCTACCTGCATGCCAAAGTTCAGCCCAATCCGTCCAGTGGTTTGGGCTGTGCGTTGATAGATCACTATGTCAGTCAGTCACCTTTGAGTTTTATTTATATAGATTGTTAGACTTTATAGAGTTACGATAGACGTTTCGCATCCTTTGCAGAAATGCGTCGTCAGAATATTAGTTATTCTCAACCTATAGAGATTAAATTTTGAATACACTTTGAATTTTGATGCAATGCATGATTAGCTAAGTGACGTCATCCAATATGGCGCACAGTCCATAACGGCTGAGTAGTAATTTTTTGCGCTCTGCTATAATATAGGTATCTAATGAACAGACACACACTCTGTTGAGAACAAAAAGATAACTTAGTAGAATAGTTTTTTTTAGGAGTTTGTAAAATATATACTTTATATACTCTATTCAACTTCCGCTGAGACAAAGGGTCGAATTTTAAAAGCATATAAAATTATAATGTAAAAAAAGTGACAATAAAAAGACCTAAAAATGAAGCTACTCCCAAACTTTGAACTCATTATAATACTACTAAATTGAATATAAAGCAAACAATTTTTGTTGAAATGTGAAATTTTGTAATAAGTTTGTCTACACTGGCCATCTTTACTCTTGATAGAAAAGTTTGAGAAGCATGAAAGACTATAGAGGTTGCCTGCGGTTTCACCCGCAATAATTTGAGAGAAAAGGTTATACTGGGTCACCCAATTTGAGGAGCTCGATGGCGCGGGTAGTTAGCGCGTTCGGCTGCGATCGTTGAAGTTAAGCAACTTTCGCAGTGGCTGGTCATTGGATGGGCGACCAAAAACCATCTATCTCTAGTTCCTCCGTGCTTCGGAAGGCACGTTAAGCCGTTGGTCCCGGCTGCATCTGCAGTCGTTAGCACCCGCTAATCCGCACTGGGCCCGCGTGGTGGGTCATGGCCCAGTCTCCCTATTTCATCCATGGGAAGGCCTGTGCCCCAGCAGTGGGGACATTAATAGGCTGAGCTGGGTTACATATTCTGACAAACAAACAAACTTCAGCTTTATAATATTATTAGGCGCTTTGCAGACGACGTAATAGCACAAAGTGAATCCTATACTTCAAACGCACACAGAGGGCAAAAAGACCGCGCCTTGGGTGCCCGGCGGGCAGTGGCGGCGCGGCATGTCCGCGGCTGTCCGCCGTGGATCATACAAACCAGTTTATATGCAGTAACGCAGACGGCGGCGCGGGGCGGTCATGGACTATTCACTAGAACGAACGTCCTAAACTGACCGCCTCTGCCCGTCGTGTGCTTTGTGTACGCGGCGCGGGCAGCCGCAGACATCGACGGCACGGTAATAATATCATACAGTATTCTATCTTCATACAAACGGTCGGAAAGCGAGTCATACCTACGCCATTCGAGTTCGATGTGCGCTCGGCGTCCACCCAGTCGCGAATGCGCCGCCGCGCCGCAACGACGACCGGACGGTCTGAATTGTTTTTTATGCAGTTAGCCGTGCTTTAACATGCGTTTTGTATTGTAAATATTTGATTTAATTAAGTAGATACCTACATAATTTAGTATGGAAAAGAACAAACGACGATCAATATCGTACAACAGCACAATTGCTGTTTTTGGTTGCTTGAACTCTTCAATAACACACCCAGAGATATCATTTTTTAAATTACCTGAAATATTGGAAAGGTGTCTTATCTTTATAGAATATTTTTTATATACCTATCTACTAGTACGTTATTTGTTTCTAATATTTAGGTATTTCGGTTTTTCCATCGGGCAAAATTTTCTAATATTTAGGTATTTCGGTTTTTCCATCGGGCAAAATATCTGGAATAATATATAAATAAGTGGTTAGGATGAAAAAAGAGACAAACGAGTAATCTACCTACATTCGCGTTAAAAACAAAACTAAATAAATACTGTAGGCGGGCGGCCCTACCGCGTGCCAACGCAGCGTTCGGTGTAGGCATTTATTTTCAAGGACAGGGCGGAGTCACAATACTGTATAGATAATATTACCGTGTCGACGGGCAGACGCGGTCTTTATTGCTTCGCGGACAAAATGCCCGCCCCGCCCCGTCGTCTGCTCTACGCCTTATAGATACCTATATGATAATTATGTATTCATTATCAGTATTCATTGTTTGTACGCTTCTGCGATAACGTCCCTTGTAATATCCAAAATTGAGCGTCAATAAAAAAGCAACTATTAAAAAGTTCTCTAATAAAGCCTACTATAAGGTGTCTGATTATATTTCAGACAAAAATGCGCTTTTATAATTATGATAAAGATGATATAATTTTGTATTGAAACCGTAACACTATCATCATCAGCCTATTAATGTCCTCACTGCTGGGGCACAGACCTTCCCTATGGATGGCATAGGGAGATTGGGCCATGACCCACCACGCGGGCCCAGTGCGGATTGGTGGGTGCTAAAGACTGCAAATGCAGCCGGGACCAACGGCTTAACGTGCCGTCCGAAGCACGGAGGAGCTCGAGATAGTAAATTTTTGGTCACCCATCCAATGACCGACCACTGCGAAAGTTACTTAACTTCAACGATCGCAGCCGAACGCGCTAGCCACCTGCGCCATCGAGTTCCTCGTAACATTATAGTATTTTTTTAATATTGTTACACAATTTTAATACTGTGAAGTTTTTTTCGCCAGTTTTTCTCCACAGTTAAAAAATGTCCTTAACTGGTGGTATGAAAAGAAATATGGACGATTCAAAAAGTTGTATTGTGCATCCAATTTGAATAAAGATATAGTGTAATTCAAATAAGAATAGGAAAACCAATGACCTCCATCTGTCAAATGTCGTTTAAAAAGTACGGTTTGCAAAAATACTTGAAACCCAATTTTTAGCACTCAGCTAATTCTAGAATAAAAACCATACATTTGTAAACAAACAATAACAAATACTGATAATTAATATTGGTTGTTATTTTTTTTTTCATTTAATGAGCTTTGGCTATGAATGGTTGATAACGTAAATCGTTAACCAAATGTCACTTTAAGTTGCGTTCAGAAACTAGATTTAGAACTTTCGTTTACATAAAGGATGCATGTTCGATGTGACCTAGTAATAGTACATCATTATTCGTAACTACTCCGGCGGTAATGCAGAGATAAGCGGAATAGGAGTAACGACGGGGTAAAGTATACCAAATTCTATTTAGTCCGTCAGTTAGATGATCAAAAAATAATGGACACGTATTTTTTCCTTGGGCAATCGACCAAAAAATGACAAAGATAAAGCGCGTCAAAGTTTGTGTCACTTTTAAGTGAAAATTGTACCAAAATGTTTATATTATGTGAAAAAATAAAAAAATACGTGTCCAATACTTTTTTGATAATCTACCTGATAAACGAAGAAAAAAAATAGTCGTCATCCCTATCGAAGAGCTAGATTCTGATTAATGTTTTTTCTCACACTGTCTTAATAAATAACTAATACTTTATTAAAAAAATCTGATGTCTTTTCTCACTTAATCTTAGTAAATAAGTTTTATAAAATAAAATCTTTTGTTTTGCTCACTCTACCTGTTTGGTTTGAATTGACAGCTATGACGTCACAATATGGCGCCCAGTCGCTCCTATTCTTAGTTGAATCGCATTATATTTTGACTTTTGACATCCAATTAGAATAAAGAATTTTCGACTTTGACTTCAGAGACAACACAAAGATCGTGAGCGAAGGCTACAAATACCGCTACAGTGGGCATAGAAACAGCGCTACCTTCAAAGGGGTCTCATTCTTCGGGCCGAAGAGCGAATACATAGTCTCCGGCTCGGATTGTTCCTACATCTATATATGGGAGAGGAAATCTGAAGCCATCGTGCAGTGGATGCAAGGAGATGTGGGCGGAGTGGTGAGTAAATATATATATATATATATTAGACTTGCAAAGAATAGTATATTCGGCAGTATACCGAATATTCGGCGAGGCCCCTGACCGAATAGCCGAATATTAGGCAAAAGTATTCGGCTGGATTTTAGCATGGCCAAAAATGGCGCGTAAACTTTAAATTATTGCTATTATGTAACCATTCATCAAATGACTGAATGAATTAAAAACTGTTAACTTGCTTAATACAGAAAATGATTAAATTATATACCTGTTTTATGTACATACCGATGGCTACTTAATAAATGATTATAAAAGAAATGAGAACCTTACACTTCTAAATTTTGATAACCACAATAATTCAAATACATAGAATCCTCCATTTTTCCAATTCAGAAGATGATTAATTATGTACCTGTGTTATGTACCAATGAGTACTTAAATGATTATATAACAGAAATGAACATATGAATATATACGTAACTAATCGATTTAAATTTTTCATTTTACCAATTATTTCTCTATGACAAAATATATTATTTAAGTATTCGGTATTCGGCCGAATAATATGTAGATATTCGGTATTCGGCCGAGTACGGAATAGTAACCGAATATATAATATATATGTAACCTGGTGGGTGCCCGCGCCTTCGTCTGCGTAAAAAAATTGGTTTCCCATACAAACCGTAAGCCCCCTTTTCACCTCCTTGTTGGTTAATGCTTAATTTTGAGATATGTGTAAAGTATCATAATCGTCATGCTATAATAATAGTTTTGTATTGTTGGTGACTCAAGGTTTACAAAAACACGTGACCATAAACAAATACCATAAGTTTTTCCACCATTTCGTTATCCATTATTGTATTTTTTTTTATAGATAAATAAATAAATATTTCCAACACTCACTACAATTAGCCTAGCCCCAAAGTAAGCACTTTAGGCTTGTGTTATGGGCTACTAGGGTATCGCACATAATACATATACTGATACATATATAAGTATATTTATATAGAAATACATATTAAAACATCCATGACTGGAGTACATATGCTCGTGTGCATCACACAAACATCTGTCCCCACCGGGATTCGAACCCAGGACATCTCGAGTAGGCAACATCTCGAAACCCGGTGTACAAACCGCTCGGCCACGGAGGTCGCCAAATCGTCAATAGATAGGTCAGATAAATGACTCCACCCCATCTGATGTTAAGTGACGGTGAAGTCAAGTGTTTATTTAAATACAAGTGTACGTTCCCGCCGTCTGTTTGACTACTGAAGCGTTAACTCTATTCTTGTTGTATTCACGCCGGGCGCGTCGGCGCTGTGTGACGTATTTCATAATAAGTGATACATTACAACTGTTTATATCGCGCCAGCAGCGTCCACTGGAGACTTCGTACGTGTTAGCTTCAGTTTTTTCAGAAGACTAAAATGACGTCACACGCTAGTAAACTTCCAGTCAAAGTGAAAATACATTGTATCGTTTGACGTTTCAATAACAGTCGTGTGACGTCACATAGCAGTGAGGCGCAATGATGTCCAAAGAAACGCTTTCGCGCCAATTAAAAAATGGATTATTTTTGTTTAGTTTTTTTTACTGAAATACACAACAAAATGATCAAAATCAAAAATCATTTATTCAGTCTAGACAGTTACAAGCGTTTGTGAAAGTCAAGAAGCTACGCCATTGGTTCGCAAAACTATAGCGGGAGACCTTGTACTGAGAAGAACCGGCAAGAAACTCGGCAAGGGCTGTTTTTTTCTCCCTGTTATATACAGAGTCGTCAAGTTAAAAAATGACTTCAGAGATACTTCTGAAGTCACCTCCCATGATGATTATCCACTACATAAATATGAGAATACAACGTGAGATCGTTTTTTTTTTAATTTTGTTAAATACCCTATTGGTGTGTGTTGAAAATATTTATTTTTATTTATTTATTTATTGTTTAAATTTCTAGGTGAACTGCATAGAAACTCACCCGCGGTTCCCCGTTTTGGCGACTAGCGGCCTCGACAAGGACGTCAAGATATGGACTGCGAGGAGCGACAGCGATCCCGATTTCGCTGGCATGGAGAGGGTAAGCACAAAGTCATCATCATCAGCCTGCTAATGTCCCCACTGCTGGGGCACAGGCCTTCCCTATGGAAGAAATAGGGAGATTAGGCCTCGACAAGGATGTCGAAATATGGACTCCGGAGGAGCGACAGCGATTCTGACTTTGCTGGCATTGAAATGGTATGCATATAGTCATCATTATTGTCAGCCTATTTATGTCCCCACTACTGGGGCACAGGCCTTTCCTATGGAAGAAATAGGGAGATTAGGCCTCGACAAGGATGTCAAAATATGGACTCTGGAGAAGCGACAGCGATTCTGACTTTGCTGGCATTGAAATGGTAAGCATATGGTCATCATTATTGTCAGCCTATTTATGTCCCCACTGCTGGGGCACAGGCCTTCCCTATGGAAGAAATAGGGAGATTAGGCCTCGACAAGAATGTCAAAATATGGACTCTGGAGAAGCGACAGCGATTCTGACTTTGCTGGCATTGAAATGGTAAGCATATAGTCATCATTATTGTCAGCCTATTTATGTCCCCACTGCTGAGGCACAGGCCTTCCCTATGGATGAAATAGGGAGATTGGGCCTGGACAAGGACGTCAAGATATGGACCCCGAGGAGCGACAGTGATCCTGACTTCGCTGGCATCGAGAGGGTAAGCATATAGTCATCATCATCATCAGCCTGCTTATGTCCCCACTGCTGGGGCACAGGCCTTCCCTATGGATGGAATAGGGAGATTAGGCCTGGACAAGGATGTCAAAATATGGACTCCGGAGCAACAACAGCGATTCTGACTTTGCTGGCATCGAAAGGGTAAGCATATAGTCATCACCATCATCAGCCTATTAATGTCCCCACTGCTGGGGCACAGCCCTTACATAATATGTCAGTGACATAATTATGTCGACTTGGTAAACCGGGTACATTTTTTTCTAGTAAAATTCTTAATATTTTAAAGCGTCGTATTTAAATCATCGTCGAATATATATTTATTCGTCGTTGAAGTTGCTCATTAAAAAAAATCCAATTGCCAACCTACCGAACCTTTAGGTATATATATAATAATAGAGCCTTTTATTTAATCCTTAAAGGTTATTTACATTTTGGAAAAGTTGTTAGGTAGTATGTTAGTTGCAATTCTTGATTGTTAAGTTGGTAATGGTAGTTTTTATTTAGGTGCATAGATCCCTCTTTGCGTTAGAGGAGCTCGATGGCGCAAGTGGTTAGCGCGTTGGGCTGCGATCGTTGAACTTAAGCAACTGTCGCAGTGGTCGGTCATTGGATGGATGACCAAAAATGACTATCTTGAGCTCCTCCGTGCTTCGGAAGGCACGTTAAGCCGTTGGTCCCGGCTGCATCTGCAGTTGTTAGCACCCGCCAACCCGCACTGGGCCCGCGTGGTCGGTCATGGCCCAATCTCCCTATTCCATCCATAGGGAAGGCCTGTGCCCCATCAGTGGGGCCATTAAGAGGCTGATGATGAAGATCTCTCTTTGCGTGAAGGCCTTCTCCAGTTTTTCCCATTCTTTCCTATCTTGAGCTGATTTTGTCCAGTGAATGTTTGCTGTTCGTATAATATCATCACTCCAACGTGTATATGGTCTTCCAATTTTCCTTTTTCCGAATGGAGAGGTCCATTCTGTAATTTTCTTGGTCCACCTTCCGTGTTATAGACGAGCAAAAGGGCCATCCCATTTCCACTTCAGTTTGAGTGCATAGGTTAGGGCGTTCATTTTTAACTAGCGGCCGCCCGCGACTTCGTACGCGTGGAGTAAGTTAGAAATAAAAGTTCACTGCTCGTTCCCCGTAGGTGATAGCGTGATAATATGTAGCCTGTATATAATAATATGTTGACCCGACTTCTTAATAATATTCGTGCCAAATTTGAAGTAAATCCATGCAGTACTTTTTGTGTTTATCCTGGACATACATATAGACAAACAGACAAAAATTTTCAAAAACAGACAAAGTTTTGATTTTCCTACCATTTTATTATATAGATGATATTGTTGTATTTACAGGTGGTTCGTGAAAACAGCGCTTCGCAGTTTCGCAGTCCGTTGTTCAACGATTTCTTGCCGACGTTGTATAGTGCTTGGCGCGCGGATCGCAGAGATTCCGGACCCCACAATAACTTAGAACTGGACGGAAATGTTTGCACTGCCTTCTGAATTATAATTATGTATCTTAGGCCCGTATTACAGAATGACAACTAAGTGTTGATCTTTACTCGAGTACAGTTAGAAAGGGATGGCACTATGTGCTATATATAGCGACATCCCTTTCTAACTGTACACAAGTATAGGTTAACACTTAGTTGTCATTCTGTAATACGAGCATGTGGCACTATGTGCTATATATAGCGACATCCCTTTCTAACTGTACTCAAGTACAGATCAACACTAAGGCCTGTATTATAGAAAGATTCTCAGTGATTGATGTAGTCTTGAGCATATATAGCACATAGCGACATCCCTTTCTAACTGTACTCAAGTACAGATCAACTCTTAGTTGTCATTGTTATAATACGGGCGTTAGTTGTCATTCTGTTATACGAGCCTTAGTATCTATAGCCATACCTAAACCCATACAGTAGGCTATTTGTCAAATTTTTGAAAACGTGCATACGTTTATTTATTAGTGTTCAGTGGCTCCATAGAAAGTGGATATTATCAGAGGCCCAAACATGAATTTTAATAGCTCCGTAATCGTGATGTCATCGTCAAGTCAAGCCAGAATGTTCTTACGTCCGTTAGGGGCGCTGCTGAGTTTTCATAGAAATTTTAACGTTGCGATACGAATACGGAGCTGTGAAAAATCGTGCGTAAAAATAAAATTTAAATTCCGTTTTCAAATTATGGAAACGTTTCTCTAGCAAACGATTATGGCGTCTTACAGGCTGATGACGTCACACGGCTCCCGTTAAAATGCCAAACTGTACAAAGTACTGTCACTTCAACAGCATGTTTACAAGCGGGTGACGTCATTTTGGGCTCCGTCAATCTTAGACGTCTTCGGTCACGTGACAATAGATAAATAAATAATATCTATTTCATATTTTTTACTTATTTTTATTTATTTTTGTCAGAATATTGAAATCACTCCCAATGTTCATGTTAAATACACATATTAATAATTGGTACTTTATTAATAATACTGTCAAATAGCCTATTTATTTAGGTTTTTGGAAGAAATGTACAGGCAATTAAGTCATATTTTGTTCTCACCTTCGCTTAACCATACAAACACAAGCACGGAGTAGATGAAAGCTTTGCTAGACTGCGCAAAGCTCAGACCATAGACATATTATGATAGAATCGACTTAGCGGCACTCGCATAAAATTGACAAAAGAGAAAATGAAAACCTTCACTTAATAGGACTGACGACCTCCGTGGCCGAGTGGTATGTACGCCAGGATTCATAGTATTACCAACTCGAGAGGTCCCGGGTTCGAATCCCGGTGGGAGCTGGTGTTGTGATGAATACGAGCATTTGTGCTCCAGTCATAGCCTTATTCATAGAAGATTAAAATAAATAGCAGTTGAATGCTTCAAAAATAAAAAATATAAATAAAATGTCAAAATAAGTGGCTGAGTGGTTTGTGCGCCGGGTTATGGATTCGAATCCTGGTGGGGGCAGACGTTTGTGTGATGAATACGAGCATTTGTACTCCACTCCAGGATGTTTAATATGTATCTATATAAATATACTTATATATGTACAGTATGTGTATTCTATCCGTTACCCTAGTATCCCATAACAAGCCTTACAGTGCTTACTTTGTAGCTAGGCTAATTGGCGTGGGTGTTGGAAATATTTATTTATTTATTTTGTTTTCACTATTGGCCGCAGTTATGGTTTGTCTCTCTCACACTTATCAGCCCAGATTTACTTTAGAGTTAATAACAATGAGGCAGCACTGAGCCGAAAAGTTAGTCATCCGTCAAATTGCGGATATGTCGTCATAGTCTATGGATTAATTTAAATGCGAGTTCGATTAATTCGCGCCAAAAACTTCATACAAAAGACCTCACGTCACAGTGGCGCCGACTGGTGACGTAAATTTTTCTAAACACCCTCATTAGAATATTTCTCTATGTCCATGAAATGGATTTAACAATATCCACATGTAGTTTGTTACTCTCTAGATAGAGAGAAAGCGATCGTGCGGTCAACGGGCAGATAAAAGTATGAGAGACGATCGTGCTTCCAGTATTTAGTTTATGGCTGGATAAGGAAGGCTCAATTCTTGTCTACACTTTCGCTATATCTTACAAACATGGAGAATTAAACACAAACGAGACAAAATAAAAAACTAAATCTAAACAAATAAAAAAAAATAGCAGTTGAATGCTAAAAAATATAAATAAAATGTCAAAATAAAAAACAAGTTTGACGACCTCCGTGGCCGAGTGGTTTGTACGCCGAGTTTCGCTCGAGAGGTCCCCGGTGGGGGCAGATGTTTTTGTGATAAATACGAGCATTTGTACTCCAGTCATGAATGTTTAATATGTATTTCTATATAAATATACTTATGTACAGTATGTGTATTCTATCCGTTACCCTAGTATCCCATAACACAAGCCTTACAGTGCTTACTTTGGGGCTAGGCTAATTGGTTGGAAATATTTATTTATTTAGTCAACGTGAACGCTTTTTTTCTTTTTATGTTAGAAGGCTGACAAAAGCATGGCCCGTCTGATGGAAAGCGGTGACCATAGCCTGTAAACACTTGCGATTCAATAAATATTCCGTTGCCTACGCTGACCCAATTTCCTACTCCGTGGAGCTGCGTCTCTCACAGTTTTTGGTCACCCATCCATTAACCGGCCATTACGAAGGAAAGAAACGAGGAGCTCGATGATGAGGGTGGTTAGCACGCTCGGCTGCGATCGTTGAAGTTAAGCAACTTTCGCAGTGGTCGGTCATTGGATGGGTGACCAAAAATCTTCTATCTCGATATATGCAGTATATTTATGTGACTCGTACTACGTTTTACGTACTGCTTTTTTTTACCGATTTTTTTATCTTACAACTCCGTCACATACAAACAAAAAAACATAGTCGGCTTATAAGTTTTTGATAGACTTCAATTGTCGATTCTTTTTGTATCCCCCTCGTTAACACAAGTCATAATTATACTAGTTTCAATAAATTCGTCCATACAAAATATACAGTACACCGCTGCGCTAACAATAAAACGATTCATTTTCTATCCCCTCGTTTACACAAGTCATATACTAGTTTTACACAAAACTTGTAGAATACTTGTTATGACATTTTTTCATTTACACTGCATATGCAACGAGTATCTTTACAAGTATAAATCACAATTTACTTCACATATTTTGTGTATCCAACAAATTTGATGCAAATATTGTACACTACATGTTTTATACACGTATGCGAGTGTGAACAAAAAATTAAGACGCATAATTTTTTTTATATACATGTTATATCTGGGTGTAAACGAGGGGTAACGAGATTGATTTTTATTTTAATATAACTTATAGATTTTGTTATCTCTTACGCAAAAATTTTATCTACTCCATCTGGGAAAGGATCAGATCTGTTAATTCACTATCTCTGTAATTTGTTGAAACTGGTTATCGAAAGAAGGCTTTTGCCTCCTCCATCTAATTTGAATATAAAGGTGTCGATTCTGGCATTATTCTCTAAACTTGAACTAAATTTAACATCACTGGTGTCAATACTGGTGTGATTCTCTAAACTTAAAACTAAATTTAAGGTCAGTCTCACATTTTCATTCTGTATAAAGAAGGACAAGGACGCACTGTTGTCATATTCAAGTTTAGCATTACAGAATCATGCCAGAATCGACATCATTCTCTCCTTTTCATTCCGTATAGAGAATGACAAAGGATACACTGTTGTCAAATTCAAGTTGAGGTTTAGAGAATCCTGCTAGAATCGATACTGTTGTCGTCTTAAAATTTGTGTATAAATATTTTAAAATTGTATTGGCCACCTTTGAGGACTAGTTAGATAGAATACTAACCGTATTTTGTTACCAAAATATGTAATTTAAATAGAAACACAATAAAAATAAAAGATAATAATTATATATGAGCGAAAGTAATATTTTAAAATTTATTGGAATTACCATACATTTTTCTAAAGAATGGGATATATATTTTGTTTCTTTCTTATGCAATGTATTAAATTAAGATTTGTCTAACTTGTCAAGATGCACATAAGTTATGTAATTTATGTAGATCTCATGTATAATATCAAAGCCTTGTATTGGTTTTGTCAAAAACAATGTGCAGTGATGTTGCACTGAAATAAGTATATGTATTACTTTATTTAAAAAATATATATTTCAAAATTGTGCATGCCTGTGATATATTTCGAGAGATTTGTTTATGTTAGGATTTTTTGTTTATATAATTGTTACCAAAATTATTGCAGATTTGGTTCGTCTCATATTTAAAGTTGCTAAGAATGATATTGTAAAAATCTTTAATTTTATTTGTTTAAGCATATTTATTGTTCCATATTGCATAAAAGTTACATATCTTAGTCGCAATGCATATATATATATATATATATATATATCGTTCTATGCCAATGTTCATTGGCATTTCAAAAAAATATTTCTTATATAGACATATAACAATAATTATTCGCTTCAGCAAGTATTGTCTTTGTTAAACTTAAGTTACATTTATTTAATTGTAAAAATATCCATGTTTTGCGCCCATAGAAATAAGCATATAAGTATGATGATTATTATGTGTATGTTAAATTTAACATTGCAAAAGCACGACAATATATCTCGTTTTTGTTTTGAATTTTTCTATTATTGTTGTTATTTAAACATAAACTTTTTATTATAAAATACCTGAAGAAAAACTTTGAGAGTGTATACAATCAAAAATATTGCCTGCTAAAGTCATGATTGATTTAATGCTGTTATTTTCTATGTTGGTTACAACATTGGTTTCAGTAGTTTAAAATATCATGCAATAGCCAATAAATAAATTCTTTTTATGATGCCTTTTACTGTGCATGAAACTCATTTGTGTAGTTAATTTTCATAACTATTAGTCATTGTATATACATTTAGAATTATCTCGATGTATAATGATTATAACCCATTTCTAAATCTTCAATGCTATTATATATTTTTGTTCTTGTTATTGTGTTTCTGTTCAGGAATATTTTATCATAAGTTTCACCACATTTTTATTACACATATTTTGTTTGGTTTACTATACTAGAAA